TGTTATGTTGTCTAAAAGCCAACTTCTGAATATAATCTTTTTAGTTTCTTTTCTTTTTTTAAGATTTTTAAAATTTATTTATTTGACAGAGAAAGAGAGAGAGCACAAGCAGGGGAAGCAGCAGAGGGAGAGGGAGAAGCAGGCTCCCCGCTAAGCAGGGAGCCCAGTGTGGGGCTCGATCCCAGGACCCTGGGATCATGACCTGAGCCGAAGGCAGACACTTCAACTGACGAAGCCACCCAGGCACCCAGAATTTTTTTCGTTTCAAGTACACCACCTCATATACCACATTACTTGCTCTTAAAAAGATATGATAGTGGCCATTCTCCATCATCCCTTTATTCACTATATATAAAGGGTTTTTTTGCCCTAAAACCTATTCCCATTCCCTAGCGGTCATTTTTTATTGCACTCAAGTTCTACAAACGCAAAGTTGGGCTGTGGTTTCACAGGCGCTATAAAGGAAATACAGAAACAACCCTGGAACTTCCACAGCCTGATTTCCTTGGATTGAAAATGTAAACAGACCCTGAAACAACAGGGTCTGATGGCCCCAAAGCAAGATTTTCATTAAGAGGAAAAAAATAAACTATTTTCTGAATTTTATTTGGTCATTTCTAATTTTCTTTCTATATTAAGTAGGCAAAACAATGCTAATATGTGACCCTTGTGATTAATTTAAAATCCATTATGCCTACAAACATAACTTAGGCTCCAAAATAACTTTCACTTGTCAGATTAACCAACTACTAGGTAAACTAATTCATGAAAATTGAAATAAATGGGATGCTATTATCTCCACTTTTGAGAGCCTGACCTCTCCAAGTGTGGTTTGGGATCAGCAGCATTGGCACCCTTGGGAGCCTGTTAGAAACATAGATTATTGGGCCTCCTTGGGACCTGCTACATCAGAACTTGCATTGCAATAAGATTCCCACAGAAATTTGCTGTATGTCTAGCCAGAGAACTGCTTGAAAGCACCACAGTCGGTATTTTCTGTAATTATGGAAATGTTCTCTATGTGTGCTAATATGGTAGCCACTAGTCACATGTGGCTACTGAGCATTTGAAATGTAGCTAGTGCAACTGAGTAACTGAGTATTTAATTTTAATTCATGTTAATTAAAAAGACATATAGTGAATGGTACCCCACTGACCGGTACGGCTCTCTAGCGAATCCATGTGCACTTGTGAGCAAAGGGTCAAGAAGTGACCACTACAGCCAAATCTGCTAATCCAGCAACACACAGCACAACTCAACTGTCGTTCCAACATGCAGAACGACTTGAAGAAAGACCAGTCCTCTTCAGCTGCTCTCCCAGAACATCAGGTATGGAGCACGGATCTCCAGATGATACTGTGACCATTCTGCTTCCTTTCTCACTCAGGTTTCCAAAATTTACCCCTCAGCTCTAGAGTTTCCATACTGATTTCTTTGAAATCTTACTACTGGACAAAAAAAATGAGTCCACCAGCCTTTGATGAGAGAGCTTCCAGGCTGTGGGGCACCTGAGGCCTGAGGCTCCTCAAGGGTAAAGTATATGAACACACTGTTGGCAGTGGGGAGTGGTGGAGGGCCCAGAGCTTGCAACAGATTTTTATGACCCAAACGCTGGTTAAGAACCCTGGGAGGAAGGAAGAACTCTGGAGCCTGACAGTCTTGACAGAGGGCCCTCAACCCTGTCTAATAACCCTCATAAACCCCTCATAAAGGTAGTCAAAGAAGCAAATGAAATAAACTATGTAGAAACTGTAAAATGTTGTAAAATTTATTATTATAAAAAAACAAGACTGCATGATAGAGCAAAATATTCAGACAATCCTTGGCAAATGAGATAAAATTTTCTGCCTTACTCGTCTCACACAAGAAATGAATAAGCGCATCATCAGTGAACGGTTCCAAATCAGAAAACACAGAATGTACCTTCTCCAGGAAGAGCTTAGGGTATAGCTGAAGTTCAGAAGATCATTCAAAAAGACTGGTTATCTCTCACAAAGTCTCCAGCTGACTTGGGCTGAATCTAAACTAAGCGGTGTATTCCAAACACCCTTACAGTCCACTATCTGTGTAGCCCAAAGGAAAAACAATACACAGTTCACTATTCCAAGACAATTCAGCTATAATGACAAAATGAATAATGCACAAGCACTTGGAGCTGCCTTCCAAATAATGCAGAAAGGTGTAAGTAAGAATTCTGGTTTAAGGAGAGTAGGTGTGCTTTCCCTCTTTAAACACACTTACGGTGACAAAACAATTTGAAAGGTCCTCGCATGTGAGATGAAAAATTCTTTCTTGCTAGACAGTTGAGCTAAACTGACTCCAGGGGCTACAAAGGGTTCAGCAGGCGCACCGAGAGGGAGGGCAGGGTCAGAAAGACTTGCAAAAGCCTCACCCAGTTGGTTGATGAGGACAGACACAATCTGCTTCCCCTCCCAGGTTGATAACCTACCAGGCTGCAGAGTTTACTCTGAGGAAAAGACCCACCCAAGCTATTTGCTCCAGAGTAAAGTGATCCCTGTGAGAACTGAAGACTGTTGTCTGGACTTGGGTGACTTTTAGGGCTTTGAGTTCAGACTCTTGTCTGGACTTGGGTGACTTTTAGGACTATATCCAAAGAAGTGGGGCAGATCTGAAGCTTCTAAGTCTCAAAATAAAAGACCCAGGGGCCTTTCTACCTCAGAAAGAAACCAGGAAACACCTAACAACCATGTTGTCATGCATATATAATGTCCCACTATTCAGTTTCCTAGCCTTAAAAGAAAAAAAAAAAAGCTATCTTCAAGAATAGCAAGAAAGACGTGACTGACTGTACACCATTCTAAAGTCTATCTAGGGGAGGTCTGGATTGCTATAAGAAAAAAAGTGTAGCCTTGGGGCTGTAATGGGGTGACAAATGCTTGAGGAAGGTCACACTCCAGCAGAGCTCACTCCTTAAGCAGCTCCCTATCTAGAACAGAAGGAACTCAGAGAGCTCCACAAACACTCAAAGCACTGCCTCTTGTGGCTCCTGTGTGTGAAGAGCCCACTTTCCCCCCATGGCTCCTCCTAAACCTTCCAGAATCTTTAGTGCCACAAACTTTACTATATGCTAGGTGCCACGCATTGTGCACAGCCCTGGGAATACAAAGGAAAATAGGATAAAGCCCCTGCTCTCAGACTAGTCTAGCAGACAGGGCATCACACAAGGGCACCCTCTCCTGGCCCATCTTTTTTTTTTTTTTTCTGCCAGTGCCAGTTATCACCTCTACTCAGCACACACCTATGACAGCTATTTATAAATTAGTCTCCCACACATTCCCACTTCTCAATGAGCTCTGAGAGGGCAGAGAACCTCTTAGCCATCTTGGTTTCTCTAGCACCTAGCACAGTGCTCCAACAAGTAGAATGAACATAGTAAGGGAGGAGGGGGATAACACTCTTAACTTTTCAGATAGAGGCTATGAAACTGCAGAGAGTGGACAGTCCACTAGAAGCAAAGGAAAGTTTGAAGAACAAATGCATGCTGAATCCGCCTTTTCTTTGTCTCCTCCTTCCTGTGACTGCTGCTCACTCGGCTTTGGCATAACCCTGCCTCCCTAAAGGGCTCTAGTGACTGCACAGTCCACACAACCATACCCTGGTCCCATCCCCAGGGATCATCCTTCACCCCCAAACAGGCCTCATTCAACAAGGCCTCATCCTCCAAAAGGACTTCGGTCCTTTCCTATTTTCTAATCATTTGAGCAGACCCCAAACACAGTGGACTGCCTTGTGAAGCAGATTCTACCATTCCTGGCTGGATGACAAGTGGTGGGTAGAGGTAGGTAAGACAGGTCGTCTTTTTTTTTTTTTTTTTTAAAGATTAAAAAAAATTATTTATTTGACATAGAGAGAGCACAAGCAGGGGGAACAGCAGGCAGAGAAAGAGGAAGAAGCAGGCTTCCCGCTGAGCAAGGAGCCTGATGCGGGGCTCGATCCCAGGACCCTGGGATCATGACCTGAGCCGAAGGCAGACACTTAACTGACCGAGCCACCCAGGCGCCCCAGGACAGGTTGTCTTAAAACTGCTTTGATTCTTCTCACTGCAATTGAAATAAAATCCAAACTCCTTCCTGAGACTTGTGGGCCCCGTGTGGTCTGGTTCCAACCTCTCTCCAAATTGAACTCAGGACTTGAAGTCTCGGGCTCTGCTTTCGTCCAGCTCTTTCCCACCTCGGGGCCTCTGCAAGTGCGGTGTTCTCCACATCTGACTTCCCATAGCATGCTACTCCTTTTCTTCGAGGTTTTCTCACAATGTGTACTTAGTTTTTGCTACTTACTTTCTCTCCCTCTACCTATGAGCTTGAGAGCGGGGACCATGTCAGCACCCAGCTGGATGCCCCCCACACAGGGAGTGTCTAATAAATATGTGCTCAGTTAACAAAAAGGCGGCTCTCCATCCTTCCACCCAGCTCCCCTACTAACTTTTCCTGATGGTTCACACACCAAATCACCCCCATCTCCTCATTCCTGAGTCCCACTGCCCACAACTCACTCTCCATTACCTGCTCTCAAAACTTCCCACCTCGGAAGTCCCACTAATGCATCCGTTTAGCGGTCCATCCCTCACAAATCCTCTCTCTCAGCCCTACAGCCCCCTGCTCTCCTCTTATCCCTTACATTCCATAAACCCCGAAACCGCCTTTCACCATACACCTCCCCATCCACACACTCCCCTTAAACCCATTCCTCTCGCCCCAGGATGGGCCCCTAAAACCCATCACCCGCTGCTTAGCCCCATAAGCCTTTCAATCCGTCGCATTTGACCTCATAAATCTCCTCGGCCTCAGAAATCCCCTTCAGTCCTCCCCGAGGCCCCACATCTCCCCTCCCCGCTCCCCGCCCACAGATGCACCCCCCCCGTCACCCTGCACCCTCCTCACCCCTCGGGCCCCCTGCCAACTTGGCCCTGGCCCCTGGGCCCGCCCCCTTCTCTGCCGTGACTTGGGGTGGCCCCGCCCCCGTCGAGCCCGCGCAGCACCTGGCCTGCGCCTCTTCCAGGCTCTGGTCGGTGATGGCCATGATCTGCTGCAGGACCTCGCCTGTGTCGGGGCCCGGAGGGGGCCCGGGCGGCGGGCGGCGCGGGGCCGGAGGAGGCGGCGCGGGGCGCTGCGGGCGCGGCGGGGAGTCCATGGGCGGTGGGGCCGGGAGAGCGCTGAGGGGGATCCGCCGGGCCTGGAGCGCTCACAAGGGCGCCGCAGCCAACCACCGCCACTCGCGCGCTGCGCGCGCGCGTCCCAAGCCCCACCCCTCTCCACCGCTTCCAGCCAACCGCCGCCAGCCAGGAGGCCGCGCGCCGCCCACGGGCACGCCCCTAACAGCCCCTTTCAACGGCCCAGGACCCGGTTGGGAGTTGCCGAGGCAACAGCTCTTCGCACCCACACCCTCCTCCTTCCACCCCCATATCTCCTCCTCCCTCACCTGCTCAGAGCACTGATTCCTGCTTAGAGACCTTAATCCGTCGTAGGGCCCCTCACATCTCCTCACAGCCCCCACACCTCCTCAGAGAGGTCCCGCATTTCCTCAGAGACGCTCAAGTCTCCTCAGAGAACCCCCCATCTCCTCAGCGCCCTCTACTCCCCACCAGAGCTCCCACTCCTCCTGAGCCCCCATTCCTCCTTAGAGCCTTCACTCCCCACAGGTCTCCATTCTTCCTCAGTGTCCCCATATCTCAAATCCCGCCACCTCCTCTGGAACCCACACATCTCTTCCGAATCCCCACTTCTCAGGGTACCCCACTTTTCCTTCAAGCCACCCCTTCCTTCTCAGAAATCCGATTCTCAGATCCCCACCAACACCCACCATTAATCTCCAGAAGCCTTGAGCCCCAGAGCCCTCCTCAGTCCCCTAATGGTCCCCTCAGTCTCAGCCCCATCAGATGGGTCACTAGGGCTCCCAGCCTCCCGGCCCTTCCCCTTGGAACTTTCCACGAGGGGTGCAGGTGTGTGCGGTGACGGTGGCTGAGTGATTTTCTCAGCTGCACAAACCAATTCTCCTTTCAAGGTCCGGCTTATAAATGACCTCGGTTTTATTCATTCTCTCCATTTACCGCAATCTGGACCTAGAATGCCCAAGCCCGCGGTCACTGAACTACTGAAGGGTGCTTCCTGAGGGTCTCCTCTGAGGTGTACCCCAAGTAAGGGTGACTCTCCACAAGTCTTTGTTTCTGGCCACTAGAACTCATGGCGTCAGAGAAGGATCGTCGTGTGAGGGAAAAGGAACGGACTGGATGTGAATCACTTCTCCAAAGTCATTGGGACCTGCTGGAGCCTGTTTGCTTTGAGGGCAGATTCCAGATGCAGTCTCATAAAGGGTCCTCAGCCTCTCTGGGAACCCTTTAGGGCAGGGCCCATCTTCTTCCCATTGCTGCTGGAGAGGAAACTCAAAACATCTGGTGTGATTGGATTGGAGGACTCCAAAAAAAAAGACAGCAGGGAATGGAAATGAGTGATTTGGGCCAGTGTTAGGAACCACTTTGAAAGCTCCCTGATTAAGGAAACCCAACACTGGGCCCCAGTTAGAGGAAGTACTAGAACTTGTGGGGCCCATGGAGAGCTGTTGCCCTGCGCAAAACTTCAGCCCTGCACAGGAAGCGTAAAAGTTGTGGGTAATTTTGGTGTTCTTCAGAGAACAGTGGTTCTCTGAACATAGGACTGAAAGCTTTAGGGACCAAAGCTTGAAGGGTGGAGAGACCTACAAGGGAGGGAAAAACCAATGGGACAAGATGCCAAAGGAGACCGGAGGAGTGTGGGTTAGAACCTGGGGGAAGCTGATGTAAGAGCAAGTGAAACACAGAGCTGCTTTTGGGAGGACTTCGGGGTCCCCACCCCATAGGAATTGGCTTTGGCACCCAAAGTGTCTGTCTGTCCAATAGGCCTGGAGCTTCACAGAGGCAAGGACTGCATCCTTCACGGTCCTATGCCCAGGCCCATGGTGTACAGGGCTCGCTTGGGTCACCATCTCTGGAGATTCTGGCCTCAGGCCCTGGGAGTCCTGCTGTCCGACTTGGATCCTGAAGTACCCAGCAACCCAGTTCATTCTTGCCTCCACACAGAGCTGTCTGAGGGCAGGGGAAGTTTTCTCCAAGGGAAACATAGCCCCATTTAATGTAGAAGGACTTCGATGTTTTTGGTTCTTCCACGATGTGTACTTTAGTGGTTTAAGAATTTGGCCTCTAATGGGAGGCCTGAGTCCACATTCTAGCTGTTATTTAGCATGTGAACCTTGAGTAGAGCTATAACCCTGTCTCCTCCCTGGTGAAGTGGAAGCAGAGAATCCAGATTCTGGTCTACACTGTACCTGGCAGGGTGCCTCTATGAGCATCTGAGAGGGGGCTCATCATGGCATGTCTGAAGACTTGGGGGGCTGTGGGGTGAGGTGAGGAAAACCAGGCTGAGGTCATGACCAACTTAGGACATTGTGGGGATCCAAAACTCTTTCTCCAGGGGCCTCTCTAGTCCCTTGATTCATCTCTGTGACCTTTGGAAGCTGTGTAACCACAGGCCAGATTGCAACCTCTCTGAGCCACAAAGTGTGCATCTGCACCACAAGATGCAAGTAATGACTAAATAATGCACCTACAGTGCTTATCAGTGTGCCAGGCACATCCGAGGAGTTTGAGAAATGGCAGCTCTCAAATTCTGCATCCTGCAGAATTTGCTTCACGGGCTCCACTCCCCCTGGCCCGTAGGTATGGATGGATGTAGGTGGTGGGGTGCGCAATGGGATGGACACGCCTGACTGTTAATAACCCAGACCCAGACGAAAGGGCAGGCAGGAGAAAGAGGGCTCACGCAGGTCAGAGACCACTGTGGGCTCCAGAGGACAGAGACAGATGGGGGCGGGGAGTTAGAGGCAGGGGGACACACAGAACGGATGCAAGACCTCCAACAAGAGAGATGGAGAGGGGTGCCTGGCTGGCTGTCAGTAGAGCCTGCCACTCTTGATCTAGCGGTTATGAGGTCAAGTCCCATGCTGTGTACAGGATTTAAAGAGAGAGAAAGAGATGGAGTAACAGCCGTGCAGAGCTCAAGAGGAAAGAGAACAGGGCTGAGGAGATCCCAGCCTAGCCCGAGCTGAGGCGGACAATTCTGGAACACAGGGACAGAGGGACTATCTGAGTTGATGACAGAAAATGCTCTGGAGACCTCAGTGGAAAGAAAGGTTTACTCCTTATATCATATGCTCTCCCCACAGACGCCCCTCAATTCTAATTGGGACAGGCAAGACCCCAGAGGCTGCAAGGGGCCACAAACCTTTTCCCAGCTCATGCTCAGCACCCCTCAGTCTGTGCCCCTAAAGAATCAGCTTCGGGCAGATGGTGCATCCATGGGCATCCTTGTCACCCTGTCGCACTGGGCAGAGTGGCCTGAGAGAGCCCTCATGTCCCCCATCTTTAGCACCCACACTACCACAGAGGAGGAAGCGGTCCACAGGGTTTACCAGGGATGTGCAGTAAAGATAGAAAGTGTCAGTTAGAAAACTCCACAACCTGAGATGATTGAAGAGCCGATTCCTGAACCCCCTCTGACGCTCTCCTGGGCATTTAGAGATGACCCCACACCCCCGGGCCTCGGGGGCAGGCAGAGCTGTGGGCCTGGGGAAGGCTGGCAGGGGCGTCGTGCCACGGCAGACTGAGGGTCTGTCCTGCAGCTTAGGTAGAGCCCGGTGCGTTTGCAAGCAGGCGGGGGCTATACTGTGGCATGTGCAGCACCCCACTGAAGTCCCAGGCTGGCTAAAGGGTGGAGTCCATCAGGGGGTGGCCATTCTCTGGAAGCATGATGCGAGTGCTGGCACCTGTTCGGGTGGAGGGTGCATAGCGGGCAGACTCGTGGGTGGACCGGCGAAGGCACAGACCGCAGAGGAGGCGGCGGAAGGTGCGGCGCATCTCAGCATCTCGGCATGAGTACACCACGGCATTGACCAGTGAGTTGGCCTCAGCCAAGAGTAGGAAATACTTCTCCACGGCCAGAACGTTGCAGGACTTGCAGCCCAGACCGTCCAGGAGCAGCACCACCTGGCCTGGCGTCCAGCAGACCACGAACGCCCCTGCAGGATGGAGCCTGAGGTGAGCGGGGCCAGCTCTGGGGGCCCAGCACCCACAGCTCAGAGCTCAGGGCTGGGGCGGGGGGTCCTCCAGAGCTCAGACAATAGCTGTGTAGTTTGCAGGGCCACAGCAGCCTGACAGCTTTCTCTGATGTGTCTGCCAGAAAGGGATGCCTTTCCTGACTGGTACATGGTAGACAAGGCGCTGGACATTTCTACATGGAGATTTGTTCTGTGGGGGAAAGGAGGTCACTGTGGGACAGGCCAGTTACCAGGTGGGGGAAAGAGGGGTCATGGGGAAGAGTCACTCCTTGTTCTTGGGGTAGGGCGTGTATCCTCGCGGGATGCACGTGTCACCTCCCCCACTCAGACCACTCTACAGCCAGACTGACCTTATCGCTCCCTGCTCAGAACTCGGGAGGGCTTCCCATGGAACTCAGAACAAAATCTGACTCTTGCCTGTGCCCTCGAGGCAGTGCTGACCACCTCTCCTGCTTCTCTCCAGCCACTTGGGCCTCCTCCTCCTCTTCTTATTTGGGGGCATTTGGCCCGGTCCTGCGGGGCTCTCACCTTCTGTTCCCTCGGCCTGGAACTCTTCCCTTCCCCAGCATTCAGGTCTCTGCTCAAATGTCACCTCCTTGGAGAACATTCCCCACCCAAATGATCCCCTCCCATGTCTCGTGGGAGTCGGGGGGCAGCAGGGTTCCTGCAACCCTGGGCCAGCTGAGGGCACTCACTCACCCAGGATAATGACAACGGTCTTGACCAGGCTGAGTGTGGTCTCTCGGTAGCGGGGGTGGCAGCTGACGTGCTCCGCCATGCGCTGCACCCTCCGCCTCACATAGAAGAAAATGCGGGTGTAGACAGCCACCATGAGCAGGAAGACAAGCAGGCTGGACAGGGCCCAGACAGCCAGGTAGGAGCGGCTGAGCAGGGGGGCCATGCGTGAGCAGCGGTCCAGGGCACAGAGGCAGTGCCACGAGTGGGCGGGCAGCAGCCCCAGGCCCAGCGCGGCCACCCACACCCCCACGATGAGCAGGACGACACGGCCGCGAGGCAGGCGGCTGTGCAGCTGCACGGCCATCACGCTGCGGTGCCGCTCCACGGCGATGGCTAGCAGGGTGGCCACCGAGGCGGTCAGGCTCGTGTCCAGCAGGCCCTGCCGCACGAACCAGCCGTCCAGCGAGAGCCGGGCGGTGCGAGGGCCCGTGTGGAACATGAGGAAGAGGTAGGCCACACCAGCAAAGAGGTCGGCTGCGGCCAGGTTGCCGAGCAGGTAGTAAATGGGCTGGTGGAAGCGGCGGTTGGAGGCAATGGCCGCGATAACCAGCAAGTTGGTCAGCAGCACCAGCACGCTGACAGTCAGCCCCAGGGCCACCACAACCACATCCTTGGGCCGCCAGTGGGAGCTGAGCTCCTTGCCACTGTTGTTGTAGAAGAAGCCGATGGTCTCATTGTAGTAGCACTGGCCCATGGTGACCATCTGGGGGCACAGAGGGAGAGGTCAATGCAGGTGGCATTTGTTGGAAGGACCCAGGAAGAAGCAGCAGCCAGAAGGGAGGGTCAGGACAAGGAAGGGCAAGGGTCTCGAACTCAGATGCCTCAGGGTAAAGTGGCGGTGGTGGGTGATGTGGGAAACAAAGGCAGAAGAAAAATTATTAAATTTCCTTACTACCTACAGCCCATTGATAAGTCCTTGAAACAGGCAGAGTGACATTCCTCTGGGGACCCAACTGTCTCGATCTTAATACTTTGCTAAGGGCAAAAGTCAATCCTAGCCCGACACCCCCCGCCCTCGACCCCAGGATCCTGTAGGTCTACTTGACATATAAACATTCCTTTGGAAACTTCCTTTATCTCTATCCTCCAAGGTATGTGTTGGCAGTCACCCCCCAAGCATATGACCCACCAACATACATCGGAAGGCTCTCATGACTAAGGTTTCATCAGACGGTAATAAATGACCTTTCCCCAACAAGAGCTAGCCCCCTCAAGGTCCTGGAAACCTGGCTTCCAGAATTCCTATGAGACTTAGGGATCCCTAACCCCCTCCCAACTTGAAAGTACACAATGGGCCACCCCTCATGACCCCGGTGCAGCTCTTTCTGCCCACGGGTCCTGTCCCCGGGCTTTAATAAAACCACCTTTTTGCGCCAAAGACGTCGCAAGAATTCTTTTCTTGGCCGTCGGCTTTGAACCCTAACATTCTTTCCTACATCATATGGTGCCCAACGTAGGGCTTTGAGTCCAGAGTCACACTGGACTCTGAGCCCTGGTGCAAACTTGGTGAGTACTTTTCTCTCCTCTTCCTTTACTTTCATTCCAGGGCCCCTTCAAGGAGTAAGGTCTTACTGGAACACTTGCATGTCGATTGCTCAGGCTGCAATCCTCTAGCCGGTGGCTACTCTAAGGGGAGGAGAAAGTCTGCCTTTTGGCTGGAAGTTAGTACCCTGGCCGGAATGGTAATAAGACCCAGACACTTGATGCCCTCTCTTTATTCCTGACCTTATGCAAAGTTGTCTGTCTTGGGCATGGGACAGCCACCTAAGTCACCAGGACGGCTGCCAATCTTAAGACTCCCATGTGAGGTTTACTCCTGATTGATCTAATGTGACCCCTTTCACATCCCTGGTCTAGCCACTTCTGGCCATGGGACCTCCACTGGGAGCCGGCCAAAACCAGTACCCGACTGAATTAAAACCCAACCGGGACTGTTTCCTAGGGAAGTTGGCTATAAGGACTACATGTGTTGGAATGTTGCTTAGATCATGATGGATTTCTATGTTTACCATTTTCCGTCAATGTCCTCTAATAACTACTTAAACTACAAAATTTGGCAATTTCCCCTTGTAAAACTTTTCTAGTGTTCTCCATGGGATAAAAATGGCAGGTTCTTAAAGGCAAGGTAAAATAAGGTGTGACCTTGACAGTATGACCTTCAAGGCATGGTATTTCAGTTCATATGCCAGGCACCCATCTGTAGCCTAGGATGCAATGGGGAAGCAGGGGGACACTAGCATCCCTCTGACAGGGGCCTTTAACGGTGGTGGTGGTCATTTTGTTTGGGGGACTTTGACACCAGGAACCTCTGACATACCCTGTGCGTGGGACGATACCTGGGAGTCAGGGGTGGGGGGGAGGGTGGGGAATTTTCTAGGTAATGGACCTTCTCTTCAGTTCCCAAGGACTCTCCTTTGGGGTGCCTTTTAACCCACTGGAAACAATTCAGACTGCAAAACTTAGGAAAGGACTGGGCTCCTGTAACCCTGCATGGCCTCCGTGGGATCTGTCAGATCTTTTCTGCAGGAAATAGGGTAGATGGACCTAGGGTACCTTCATTGCTCATACCTAGGCCTTCATTGCTCTACACCGGGACCCCGACCTAAGGGCCTCTTGCAGATTGTATTTGCCCGAACGTGTTGACTAGCGAACTCCCCCTGACATATTGGATGATAATTATCTAAACAGGCCTTCTCCAAATAAACCCAGGTTGCTGGAGGAAACGCAGGCCATCCCTAGCAAAGGGGACTCTGACTCTCTCACTGTTCCTCCTCCTAATAGATGTAGGGGCTTCTCCCTCACTCATTTCCCGGGTTAATGGCTATAACTAGAGCCAACTGTGCTTAGTCCACCTTGGGACGGGGTACTTTAAGGAATATTCCCAAGTAGCTGCCAAAACTCCCTTTGTTTCATGGAAATTCCCTGTCTTCTCTGGTCTGACACGGGCTGCCTGTTCCCCCTTGTTGGCGGGAAAACATGGTGTTTGCTCCTCTGTTGGAGATGATGACCTCTAGAACTGGGAACCCTTTCTGGGTCTTCTAGGAGCACTTTGCCTCTTCTGCCTTCCCCTCCCCCTCCTCTTGTTTTCGCACCACCTTGGGTGTGGCCTACATCACTGGCTTCTATACCATGCTCCCTGCCTCCAGCACCACTGGTTTCTCCTCCTACCCTCACTATCAAGGAGGCTTCTCCTCCTACCCTCACTATCAAGGAGTGAAGAAGAGCACCCCCTGGACCTAACACCACCCACTCCTGATTTCTCCACCAGTATCTCAGGTAAAATTTGACAATGGGGAGGATCCAGGTGGAACATAATTCAGTATTTAAACTAAGTTAAGTTTGTTGGTTTAATTAAGATAGGTCTTTTCAAGTTGTCAGCACTAAATGTGAAACATTTATTCTATCTAGGCTTACTGGAGGTCAAATAAGTTCATGTTATCTCTTGCAATTTGTTAGCAAAAAGATGACAAAAATGATGGTTGTCTGTCTCATCAAAGTTTTCATAGGTAATTGTTAAGATAGCTTTCAAAGTCTTTGAGAACCTGAAACTTTAAAGCTTTGCTTGGATGATAAATGGGATTAAATTCATTGGACATCTAGGTCTTTTCCAAATAGGATAAAGTGCTAAATCATTGATAACTGACATAGGTTTATGCTTTTAACTTCTTATTGCAAAGAAACAAAGAATATTTGGGTCTGTTGGTAAACATGCTTTGTGCTTAACCAGTTCATAAAGTTGCTGTCTAAAGAGTTCTGGTGAAACAGCTCACAATTGGTTACTACTTAGTTTTCACTGGAGACTAAGGTTTCTTTTTTTCTTTCCTTTTTTTTTTTTTTTAAGATTTTATTCATTTATTTGAGAGAGAAAGAGATAGCGAGAGAAAGCACAAGTGGGGAAGAGAGGGAGAAGCAGGCGATCCCAGGACCCTGGGACCATGACCTGAGCCGAAGGCAGTCGCTTAACGGACTGAGCCACCCAGGTGCCCCGAGACTAAGGTTTCTAAGAGTGAAAAATTCTACTAACTGTAATTAAGACTGATGGAAATAAGAAAAGCAACTCTGCATATGAAAGAAAGATATCAGGATTGGAAATACATTTTTGTTGAAGGTAAAAGAAGGTAATTTTGTCCTAAATGAAACTGGTTGTTTAGAAAGAAATGGCTTGGGACAAAATCTGAATGCAAAGGAAAGCTGTAGAAGGTTTGTGATGGGAAATCTTTGGAAAAATTTTAGGTGTGGTCAGGATGGACTAAGATTGAAATGAATGGATTTTTTTTTAAGATTTTATTTATTTATTTGACAGAGAGAGACACAGCGAGAGAGGGAACACAAGCAGGGGCAGTGGGAGAGGGAGAAGCAGGCTTCCCATGGAGCAGGGAGCCCGACGTGGGACTTGATCCCAGGACCCTGGATCATGACCTGAGCCAAAGGCAGACACCCAATGACTGAGACACCCAGGCGCCCCAGGATTTTTTTTTTAAGGTTTTATTCATTCACTTGACAGAGAGAGAGCACAAGTAGGCAGAGTGCAGGCAGAGATAGAGGCAGAAGCAGGCTCCCCGCTGAACAGAGAGCCCAGGATGCAGGGATGCAGGGCTCAATCCCAGGACAGATGCTTAACCCACTGAGCCACTCAGGCGCCCTGACCATCCCTAATCCTATTTAGGCATGTGCTTTAAAACTTTGTAAGGTTTTAACAAACTTCCCCAAGACTGAAATCGTGAACAAAGTCTCATTGACTAATTAGGCCTATTTGTTTGGTATGTTACGTTCTGGTATAAGGTCAACATCACTCGATATTCTGGCTATTGAAGTGTTATATGTCACAGAAATAACTGAGTTTCCTTGTCAATTGCATCATAATGAACTCTCATATCAGATTATTAACAATGTCCATTTCTGGGGTGCCTGGGTGGCTCAGTCGGTTAAGCATCTGCCTTCGGCTCAGGTCATGATCCCAGGGTCCTGGGATCGAGCCCTGCATCGGGCTCCCTGCTCGGCGGGAAGCCTGCTTCTCCCTCTCCCACTCCCCCTGCTTGTGTTCCCGCTCTCGCTGTCTCTCTGTCAAATAAATAAATAAAATCTTTAAGAAAAAAAAAACAAACAATGTCCATTTCTGAGTTTCTGTCATTTATAGTTTTTCTTATTCTCTTGCAAAATGAGTTTCATCTTCGGGGCCCCTGGGTGGCTCAGTTGGTTAAGTGACTGCCTTCGGCTCAGGTCATGATCCTGGAGTCCCGGGATAGTGTCCCATATCGAGCTCCCTGCTTGGCGGGGAGTCTGCTTCTCCCTCTGACCCTTCCTCCCCTCATGCTCTCTCTCTCTCAAATAAATAAAATAAAATCTTTAAAAAAATTGAGTTTCGTCTTCAAGGAGATTCATAAAAAGGACTTTGAGGACAAATACAGGAATTTAATATCTTTAAGATCAAAACTGAAATGGGTAAGAATTTCCAGAACTAACTAAAAAGCTGCATTCAAATGAAATAAGAACTAGTAACATGGTACTATATGAACTAAAAAGATGATTATAGTTTTGTGACACTTGTTTGAAACATTGCTGGTTCTCTAATGTTTACTCTTCCAGATTAAGGAAACTTTCTTTTAAGATATCTGACTTACAGAAATGTGATAAAAGTATTCATTTGTGAATAAATTCACACATTTAACTTTTCTCTCTACCTGAACCCTCTGAAATTAAAAA